CAAACTCTATTTGACCTGGTCACTTTAGAAATTTCATCGTATATAACTTGCGACTCTATATTTTCTAGATCAGGTGGTCTGTAGACTACTCCTACAACCAGACTTTCTATATTATTTTTAATTTCAACCCATAAGGTTTCTGAATTTAGATTTGTCTTAATTCCAGACTTAATGCAGCTTCTGAGGCTATCTTTAATATACATAATTACCCCTCCCCCTCTTCTATCTGCACTACGATCAGCATTATAAAGTTTATATCCTGTAATTATGTACTCAGCTTTAAGGTGTTTGCTTTCTAAATTAATCCAACTTTCACTAATGCATATTATATCCGGTCTCTCACTACATACTATGGCTCTCAGTTCATTTATCTTGTTACCTAAACTACGGCTATTTGTATAATATACTTTTAAACTTTCTCTAGCTTTACCCTTCTTGTGGCTATTCTTTTTGTTAATATTTGTTCTATGTAACAAATGGTTCTTATCCTTAGACTCCCAGTTATTTGACCCACTATTTACTGAACCCTTACTGACTAATTTCTCTGCACAAGTATTAATCATTTCATTATTTGTGTCTAACAAAACCCCCCTACCTCTCTGTCTATCATACCAGCCAATACCGAGACACCTGAATTAGAAAGATGCACTCCATCCCTTGCATACATATGCTTACGACTAGTGAAGTGATCCCACCCGTCTATAAAACCTATATTATTCTCCCGACAGAAGACTTTCATCCTAGCATTTACTCCTATAGCTCGAGACCACCACTCTGAACTTTGGCTAAGCCTAGGGAGAATACCACACATCACAGGAACTGCACCCCTTTTCCTGATCTTATCCAGGGCTTGTCTATACAACCTAATCAGCTCTTCGCTTCTACCATTCTGCACGTCATTTCCCCCAGCTATCAAACAAACAACATCTTTTTTCTCAATCCAGCTATTTATTGACTCACCCACCTTCTTCATACCTGCTCCAGGGAAAAAATATTTTCCTCTAACTCTATGCCTGAGTTTCCTGTCTACATATCTGCATAGTGAATCCCCTACAATTACCAAAGAACAAGACTTATCCGGAGGATGGGTTACTCCGACCTTGGGAGACTTACCTAGGCTCTTGACCTGAGAGCTTTTCCCACTTCCATTTCTATGATCACTAGTACACCTATCTGACTCTATGGGTCCTGAAGAATTACTGCCGCCACTGTCACCTTCGTCTCTAAGTGAACTAAATGAATTAGCAACTTGTAGTCTAAAAGTATCATTTTTCTTAAGAACCATCGTCGTAAAACCCTTATTCACAACTTTCCAGTCATCTTCTCTATTTAATTGTCCCTTCCTGGTTAACACCTCTACCTTACCTCTCAGATCCCTGTTCTCCTCAGCTAAGGATCTGACCTCCTGCCTGACTGCGGCCAACTCATTTCTTAAATTAAAAATGAGTTTGCTTGCGTCAGACGAGGACAAATCCCCAGCACAGCCACAAACAGCACCAACAACGACACCACCACCATCACCACTACCACTAACACCCCCAGCACAAAGAACACCACCACTCTCCATTGTACTAAGTATGGTCAAGACTAGAGCTACTGGAAGCACGTCCTCACTGGATGAACCCAGGAACTAAACTAAACTATTACAAAATGACATTGATCTTAATTCAAAATTCCTACTCAGGAACACGTCACAAATACTTTCCAGACACCAACATACTCGTACGTGTCAGTCAGTACAATGTATATAGTAATGAGAGCAAATAATATGCATAGAATTTAGAAAAAAAATAGTGTTATTGCCGGTGCGGGATACGCCCTTCATTCCTACTCAGCAAATTTAGTGACACAGAGGTTGGGTAGGAAGGTGACGCAAGGACTTTTCTTAAAAAAAATAACACACACACACACACACATAAACAGTGTCACAGTTTTTCCTAAGGGCTTCAGAATACTAAGGGTCGAAAGATCTGAGAGGACTGGTGGAGGGATAGCACTGCTCATAAGTGAGAGGATTCAAGTTGAAGAAATAAACTTGGCTATAGAAAGTGAGTTCAGGGAATTTCTTGTTGCTCGCATAAATACTGGGTCAGAGAGCATTATAATAACTGTTGTATACAACCCACCAAGGAACCAAAATAGGCTTGAAATTTATGAGGAAAGTCATATAGGTACTATTGAAGTCATAAACTCAGTTGTTAACATGGCACGGGAGAAAAAATGTAGGATTTTGATTATGGGAGACTTTAATCATAAAGAGATAGATTGGATAAATCTTGACCCACACAGTGGTGAGGACTCATTTGGGGCAAGATTCCTAGATTGCGTACAAGGGAATTTCCTACACCAACATGTAATGGAACCAACAAGAGCCAGGGGTGGGGATGAGCCATCACTACTTGATCTAGTGTTCACAGATAATGTGTTGGATATTGAAAATATTGAGTATGAACCACCAATTGGAAAGAGTGACCACTGTGTGTTGTTGATGGAGTATATCATTGAAGACATTCTTCCTGAGAGTAGAGGCACTGAGGACATGAGGAGGAACTATCCGAAAGGAGATTACATAAAAATGAAAGAGCTTTTTGCAGTTATTGACTGGAGAACCTTATTTTACAACAAATCTGTACAAGAAATGTATGACATCTTTTGTGAGAAATATGGGAAGATAGTAGATTGCTGCATACCTGTCACCAAAGTAGGTGTAATTCATGCCAGAGAGAAATGGTTCGATAATGGGTGTAAAAGAGCTAAGGAGTGGAGAGACAAATGCTGGAAAAGGTATAGGAGGAGAAAAAACATAAATGCCTGGCAAACCTACAAAAGAGCAAGAAATGACTACCTAAGTAAAAGGAGAGAGGCAGAGAGAGATTATGAGAGGGACATCACCAGGAAGGCTAAAGAAAATCCCAAGCTTTTCCACAGCTTTATCAGAGGAAAACTAAAGGTAAAAGAACAGGTTTTAAGGCTAAAGAGAGCGGATGGAAGCATCACTGAGACGGACGAAGAGATCTGCAAAGAATTGAACAAGGAGTTTCAGTCAGTATTTACAGTAGAAAATACCCCACCCCCCCAGATTGCAGTGATAGAAGCTCAAGGGCCGGTATTAGAGAACATCAACCTTACAGCCACAGAGGTATGCAAAGCGCTGATGGATTTAGATGTTCATAAAGCTACAGGTCCTGATGACATATCCCCGCATGTGCTTAAAAAATGCGCAAACACAATATCAGTGGCACTAAGTATCATATTTAAGGAGTCACTGGAGTCGGGGGAGATTCCAAGATGCTGGAAACAAGCAAATGTGATACCTATCTTCAAAAAGGGAAGGAGGGATACGGCTCTGAACTATAGACCAGTTTCCTTGACCAGCATAGTTTGCAAACTTATGGAGAAACTACTAAGGAAACATATCTCTCTTCACTTGGAATCCTTCAACTTTTTGTCAGTGAGGCAACATGGCTTCAGAGAAGAAGATCAACAGTAACAAACTTATTAGAATTTTATGATGAGGTAAGCCAAATCTTACAGGAAAGAGAGGGCTGGGCAGATTGCATATTCCTAGACTTCCAGAAAGCGTTTGACACTGTTCCACATGGGAGACTTATTAGGAAGCTGCAATCAATGGCTAGAATAGGTGGAAATGTCTTGGAATGGATAAAAACTTACTTAGAAGGAAGGGAACAGAGGGTTAGAGTAAGACACTCAGTGTCTGAATGGAGAAGAGTTAGTAGTGGAGTTCCACAGGGTTCAGTTTTAGGGCCACTTTTGTTCCTTGTATATGTAAATGACCTACCAGAGTCTGTAAATTCATTCATGAATATGTTTGCAGATGATGCAAAGATTGTGAAGAAAGTAAAAAACGAGAACAATGGTAGAGAACTTCAGGAGGATCTAAATAATCTGCATGAGTGGTCAGAAAAGTGGCTAATTTCAATACCTCAAAATGTAAGGTAATGAGAATGGGTACAAGTGCAAGAAGGCCCAAGCTTGACTACTCGGTGGCTGGAGTACAACTTCAAGAGACAGAAAATGAGAGAGATCTAGGAGTAAACATACTGGCAGATTTGTCTCCAGAAATACATATAAATGGCGTAGTAAGGGCAGCATATGCATTCTTATCAAATGTAAGGGTAGCCTTCAGGCACATGGACAAGGAAATGTTTAGAAATATTTATGTAACCTATGTGAGGCCAAAACTCGAATATGCAGCCCCCTTTTGGAATCCGCACTTGAAAAAGCACATAGCTAAGCTTGAAAAAGTTCAAAGACATGCCACGAAACTGGTGCCAGAAATACGCAATCTCGGTTATGATGAGAGGCTGAGGGAATTAGACTTGCCATCACTCGAAGCTAGAAGAGTAAGGGGGGATATGGTGACAGTCTTTAAATTCCTTCATGGTTATGATAGAGTGGATAGGGATCGATATTTCGATATGGCTGGCTCTAGAACTAGAGGTCATAGTTTGAAGCTTCGTAAGAAAACTTGTTTGCAGGATGTAAGGAAATACTTTTTCAGTGTAAGAGTAGTTGATAATTGGAATTGGCTAAGCGAGGAGGTAGTTAATGCTATCTCAATCCATAGTTTTAAGGACAGGTACGATAAGTATCACTAAGTCTAAAAATGGAACCGATCAGGAGACGGGAAGATACGAGCTTTGGGCTCTTTCCCGTAAACACAATTAGGTAATCACACACACATATATATATATATATATATATATATATATATATATATATATATATATATATATATATATTATATATATATATATATATATATATATATATATATATATATATATATATATATATATATATATATATATATATATATATATATATATATATATATATATATACTAAATAAGCACATTATCATATGTGAAAATATGAATCATTTTTACTCCGACCTAGGCTTGATCCTAGGACTTATAATTACTAAGCCAAGGCGCTACCAACTACACCACAGAAGGTTAAAGGGAAATAAACCTTAATAACCTTCTGTGGTGTAGTTGGTAGCGCATTTGCTTAGTAATTAAGGTTTGCTTCCCTTTAACCTTCTGTAGTGTAGTTGGTAGCGCCTTGCTTAGTAATTATAAGTCCCAGGTTCAAGTCCCGGTCGGGTTAAAAATTATTCATATTAGTATACTATATATATACGGGTTCCTAGGCATATGAAAAATTATTACAAGTGCTCCACCAAGGTGTAAAGGTTGGGAATCACTGACCTAACCCAACTTTACAACCTAACCTAACCACGTAATAAATTATGAACTGTTTACCCTGAAATTTTATCCATTCATTATTCTTTAATTATATAATAGATGTCACATTAAATATCAATAAAAGGCAATTGCCCACTTTTGGATTAAGAGTTAGGGGCTGTCCTGGGGCCAATTGTCTTAATAACAGTTGCTAGTACCACTCTATCGTCAATGAAGATTAGAAATCAGATTCATTGTAGCCACAGACTTAATGCTTCCCATTCACTAATTCAATTTCAATATTTCTTAATCTATTTATATGTGAATATAATAATATAATATTCCATATGCATTTTACCAGCCGATGAAGTTACGAAATGAGCCAAGAAGCATTTGCCATAACCAAGAGAAACCATGTTCCCAACAAAATGCCCAGGTAATATTTACCTGAACTGAACGGTAGTGGCGCTTACCCTCCCCCCCCCCCACACACACATCCTGATTTCACAGTAGCGACTAGATGACCTTTCTCGGACTGATGCCGGTAGGAGACATTTTTCACATTAACTCTAGGCACTGAAAACCATTTCTTGATTGAACTGTCGCAAATGACGGTCATTACTTGCGCTAAAAATACTAAAATATATTTTCATGCTATCATGTCTGCGTAAGAGGGCCAAGATCTTGGAAAGTGAAGAAGAAATCCCTAGCATCAGTATAATGACACATATAAAAACAATAATAATAATAATAATAATAATAATAATAATAATAATAATAATAATAATAATAATAATAATAATAATAATAATAATAATAACGGGAGCTGAAACTTAAAATCAACCGCTGACTGACGCTGAGTTCGCAACAACATCTGTGGAAAAGGTCTTTCCAATTCCAAGTTTTGAACCAAAGTTTAATTGATGTCTTTTGCTTTCAGAGGACCCCCAAATTCCCTCCCCACCGCCACCATACCCCCAGCCAAGCCGCAAAGCCTTTTATAGAAGTAAGATTTTATAACCGACTTACTGGGGCAACTCAAGAAAAAAAAGACAATTTATGCTCATGAAATTATTTAAGTTACATATTTGTATCTATTTATAGATGTATTCATGTAATTATTGATTAATATGCTAATTTCATTTCAATATTTCTTAATCTACTTATATGTGAATATAATAATATAATTTTCCATATACATTTTACCAGGCAATGAAGTTACGAAATGAGCCAAGAAGCACTTGTCATAACCAAGAGAAACCATGTTCCCAAAATGGCAAGGTTATATTTACTTAAAATGAACGGTAGTGGTGCTAACCACCTCACACACACACACACATGTATATATATATATATATATATATATATATATATATATATATATATATATATATATATATATATATATATATATATATATACATATCACAGACACAATCAATGTAGACAGAATGTTTAGGGCGACTTGTAGTGGCAGGGGGGGGGGGGTAATTTTATGTTAAGAACATAAGAACATAAGAATAGAGGACACTGCAACATGCCTACTGGCACACACGAGGCAGCTCCATTTTTTGAATTGTATTTTCAGCATGTCTAACCTATTCTATTCTACTCTACTTATTTATTCTATTTTTCTTTTTATGATTTTTCTAATAAGCACTAACCTATTCATACCCACCCTACCTCTGTCATATGTCTATCTAATCTACATTTGAAGGTGTCTAAGGTATTGAACATAAGAACATAAGAACATAAGAATAGAGGACACTGCAACATGCCTACTGGCACACTCGAGGCAGCTCCATTTTTGAATTGTATTTTCAGCATGTCTAACCTATTCTATTCTACTCTACTTATTTATTCTATTTTTCTTTTTATGATTTTTCCTAATAAGCACTAACCTATTCATACCCACTCTACCTCTGTCATATGTCTATCTAATCTACATTTGAAGGTGTCTAAGGTATTGGCATTTACTATCCTACTAGGAAGCTTGTTCCATGCATCAGCTACTCTATTACCAAACCAATTTTTACCAATTTCCCTTCTGAACCTAAATTTATCAAGCTTAAATCCATTATTACGAGTTCTGGTTTGATCATGAATTTTTAAAACTTTATTAATATCTCCCTTGTTAATCCCTTTAAACCATTTATACACTTCAATCATATCCCCCCTAACTCTTCGCCTCTCTAGAGAATGTAGATTAAGTTTTTTTAATCTGTCCTCATATGGTAGATTTCTGATATTGTGTATCATCTTGGTCATTCTTCGCTGCACTCTCTCCAAGGATTCAATTTCCATTCTATAATAGGGTGACCAGAATTGCACAGCATAATCTAAATGGGGCCTAACTAATGCAAGATAGAGCTGCAAAATAACTTTTTCCGTCCTATTGCTAACGCTTCTTGAGATAAATCCTAAAATTCTGTTTGCTTTATTTCTGACTGCTGTGCATTGCTCTCTTGGCTTAAGGCTACTACTCACAAGAACTCCCAAATCCCTTTCACACTGAGAACTCATGATTTCATTGTTATTTAGCTTATAACTAGTATTGTCTTTTATAGTACCCATTTTAACTACTTTACATTTTTCAACATTAAATTCCATTTGCCATTTGTCCGACCATTCAGATAATCTATTTAGATCTTCCTGTAAAGCATGACTGTCTTCTTTTCCATTTATAGTTCTATCTATTTTAGTGTCGTCTGCGAATTTACTTAGGTTACTACTGATATCCGAATCCAGATCATTTAGATATACGATGAATAATAGGGGACCCAGTACCGAGCCTTGTGGTACCCCGCTAGTAACCGAGCCCCACTCTGATTTCTCTCCATTTATGCAAACCCTCTGTTTTCTGTCTTTTAACCATTGTTTGATCCATCTGAGCACAGCTCCTCCTATACCATGAGCTTCCAGCTTTTTAACTAATCTTTTGTGAGGAACTCTATCAAAAGCTTTGCTAAAATCTAGATATATTGTATCATATTCTTTGCCACAATCTACTGCCTCGTAAACTTCTGAATACAGGTTGCAAAACAATGAATTTAAGAGACAAGTTAAAAAAATTATATTAATATACTTATATACATACATTCATACATACATACGTCCTGACATACATACATACGTCCTTACATGCACAAATACATATTTAAAAAAAAAAAAAAAAAAAAAAAAAAAAAAAATATATATATATATATATATATATATATATATATATATATATATATATATATATATATATATATATATATATATATATATATATATATATATATTCCCTACCCATATCACAAACTTCATTATGGTTAACTTCATCTTGAAAGAAACCACGAAAGACATCTGTAGAGTCTACAGAATAGCAATAGAGCCAATGGAAAGGACCTTCAAAGAAAGCGTTTGTTCTATTTCTCTCAGTCGCGTCGTCATCTCCATTATTATGCTAAGAGGCACCTCATTAATAGCCAAGATTTAGCGTGGCATTCACAATGGACGGGCGAGGGGAATGTGCATACATTAACACATGTTATAATGTGTCTCTATATATAGACATACTCCTAAGTTGGGCATTATCTCATTTATATATATATATATATATATATATATATATATATATATATATATATATATATATATATATATATATATATATATATATATATATATATATATATATATATATATAACGTTATTTTTTCTATGTGTTGTTTCACTAATGGGCTTCCTTACCATATACAGTATATATATATATATATATATATATATATATATATATATATATATATATATATATATATATATATATATATATATATATATATATATATATATATATATATATATATATATTTATATATATATATATTATTTCCCCTTATAATAGAAATTTATGACTCAAAGACGAGACAACATTATGTCTGAGGGTTAGCTATCCTATTTCTTAATCTGCTTGTGTCATTCTCTGCGATTCGTCTTTGAAAGCCTAGTCTCCGGCTATTTCGCAAGAATTTCATCTTGCAAGATATCTAAAAATGAAACACAAGCACAGAAACAGAGGAAAAGCAACAATTTTTAAATATCACTAATACAACATGGAGACTTTATATGCAAATAAAAAATATGAGAAATATGCACTGAATATTATTTTGCTAGTTCTCCTTATAATAGGATTTTGTAACTAACCAGACAATATTATGTCTCTGGGTTTGCTAGTTTACATACATACATATATACATACAGACAGACAGACAGATATGAACGCACACACGTACCTACTTATGTATGTATGTATGTAAGTATGTATATATATATATATATATATATATATATATATATATATATATATATATATATATATATATATATATATATATATATATATATATATATATATATATATATATATATATATATATATATATATATGAATCATATTTTACCCCGACTGGGACTCGAACCTAGGACACATAATTACTGTGTCAAGGCGCTACCAACTATACCACAGAAGGTTAAAAGGGAAACAAACCTTACAGCTATATCTGCTATACTACGAATGAACGCATTCTATCTGAATGCCACTATGCTCAAGTATAGTTTCGCCCCAACCTTTCCCCAACACTCTCTCTCTCTCTCTCTCTCTCTCTCTCTCTCTCTCTCTCTCTCTCTCTCTCTCTCTCTCTATATATATATATATATATATATATATATATATATATATATATATATATATATGTATATATATATATATATATATATATATATATATATATATATATATATATATATATATATATTTGTGTTTGTTTGCTATTTTCCATCCCTATTAATCCCCATTCGAATGAGCGTAGACATGGACAGGTTAGAGCTGGAGAAATAAGGATGAATGCCCATCCTAATGTCTAGCATTAGGCTGGGATGC